GCCCCCCCCCCCCCCCCCCCCCCAGCAACCCAGAGCACCACTGCAGCCCCAACAGTAAAAACAACGCGCCGGACCATCCAATCTGTCGGAACGTTTGTCCCTCTTGTTCTCCAGGGAATAGAAGTGGCCCTCCAACTACAGTACCGTACAACGCTCTCCCTCCTCTCTCCCCTCCCGATCAAAATCGAGTTCAAGTTCCAAGGGAAAAATACAGCAGCCGGCGGGTCGATCATTCGTGGGACAATCAAAACCGGTAAGAAGAAGAACAACATCCCACGCTACTACCACCCACTCTTCGAAAAAAGGTGTGGGGTTTGGGCTACGAGGCCGGTCGGGGGAGGAAACAAAGAACAGAACAGAGTGGCTAAAACGAGACATACACGGAGCCCCCGAACTACAGTAGGTTCGGGCGGCCACAGCTATTTAGGTCTACCCCGCTTTTGGCACACCACATTAGGTCCCCGACGGGCCCGGACTCGCACTCGACGAGTCCCCCGGCGGCAACGAGGGGCTTTCCTCCGCAGTTGCCCCGACACCACCGGCCGCCCCCGCCCCCGCAGCTGCTGGGGGTGGGAGGAGGCTTGGTGTCGTCGCGAGCGTGCCTGGGGGACCCGTGCTTAAACTCTCCCGCAATCCCGTGCCGGCTTGCGGTGCGTCGGTCGCCGGACCCCCCTCCGCTGCTGCCGCTGTCTCGGGAGCGAGGGCCGACGACGCAGCGGCGCTGCTACCACCTCCTATCCCTGGGGACGCCGCCGCCGCCGCCGCCGCCGCCTCGAGTCCCACTCCACCCGCAGCGGCTGGTGGTGCCGTGAACGCGCCGACCGCCGCCGCCGCCGCCGCCGCCGCTGCTGCCGCTGCTGCGCCGGTCGTAGGGGTCGCCGTTGTCGACGGTGGTGTCGTCGGCAACGGCGAAGCCGCGGGTGCCGCCGCCGGCTGAAACAAAACTGGGGATGCCGCCGCCGGCGGTGTTAACGCCGCCGTGGATGCTGCTGTTGCGGGTGGCGGAGACAAGACCGCGGGTGCCGGCGGTGCCATTGGCGGCGGCGGTGTCGAAACTGCTGCGGGTGCAGCCTGTGCTGCCAGCGCTGCGGGTGCTACCGGTGTCGGGTGCTCCGCGGTGGTGGCAAGCCCCATCATGCCCCCCCCCATCCCGCCGCCGCCGCCGCCGGTCGGCGGAACGACGGCGTGCGAGGCCGCCGCCGACGTACCGCCGTATGGATCGTCACTCCCCCCGATGAGATCGACGTCGTCGCCGATGCCTCGCAAGGCGGAGGCGACGGGATCGTCCGCTTCCGCGCCGTCGTGGCCCAAGAGAGAGCTCGGCCCCCCCGCCGAAGCTCCCAACTCGCCGACGCCGCCGCCGCCCGCCCCGACTTCTTCGTCGGCCGGCAACGGTGCCGGGTCTGGAGAAGCGGGAAACCCCTCGAGCCCAGACAACCCGAGCGCCGTCCCCGCAGCTGCTGCTGCTGCTGCTGCTGCTTCGCCGGCCCCAGGTGACGACACCGCCATCCCCTTCCCGGGCATCCCGGACAGCGGCATCTGTAAAGCGGCGGCGCCAGCGGCACCGGCGCCCCCGGTCGCGTCATCCGCCGGACCCTTGTGCCCGAAACCAGAGCCGGGGTCGTCAAACAAAAGCGGCGACCCAGCAGCCCCCTGACCCCCCCCCCCGGCCACCCCCGCCGCCGCGCCTCCCAAGCCGCCCAGCGGGCTGCTACCCGCGAAAGGCGAGTGGTAAATATCGTCGGGTGGAGCTCCAGGGAGAGAGAGCAAGTCGCCGGCGGCGGAATGCGGCGAGGCGCCGGCGGCCCCCGCAGCAGCCCCCGCCGATCCGCCCGCTCTACCGTCGTCGTCCTCGTCCTCGCCGTCGTCGAGCTTTGGCACCTTTTCGGGGGGAGGCAGGACGGGGCTATCCCCGCCGTGCCCCGAATCTGTCCGTCGCGGAATGAGGAGCGCCGGCGGGGTCCTCGCCGGCAGAGAGGTAAACGAAGACGACGACCCGCTGCCCATACCCCCTCCGCCCCCCCCGCGCCCCCCCCCCCGGTTGTCCCCGCTATCGTTATCGTCTTCCTCGTCCCCGTCCGCCCCGCCGCCGCCGCCGCCGCCGGCACCGGCAGAGGAGGAACCACCCCCACCGCCGCCGGCGGCGCTGGCGCCCATCGACCGCCTCGCGCGGCGGAGCCCCTGGCGACCTATGATTGGCGGGGACGGGGTGGGGTCCCGGACGGCGGAGCGCGGCGGGATCGGTATCATCGGACCGACCTCGTCGAGCTTGGCCAGAGTCGCGGCATCCAATTGGTCCGCCTTGTCCTGATAACCCCCGGACCCGAACGTTCGTTGGTTTCGGCGGACACGGAAATAAGCGGGCGACACGGCGACGAGAGGAGGACGTGGAACGTTAGGGTGGCGAGGGCTACAGCAGTACCTTCGTCTCTCTCTGCTGCCTGGATGCATACGGCACGGAGAAGCGAGAAGACGTCCCAAAGAGTTCACGCGCGTCGCTGTCGGGCAAGGATCGAGCCCGACACATGTACGATACGCATGCATGGCATACGGCTGTACCACACGTGACCTGTGAAAGTCGTCGGCATCAAAGCGCCGTGTGCCGCAGCAACGCATGCGTCCATGATTCACGACAGTCGTCCCTCCGGTGGGAAAGTTCCCAACCTTTTGACGTTTTGGGTGTGAGGTTTGGGCGTGAGTTCGAACCTCGGCGCGTTTGTACCTTAGCTTCACATCATACCCAAAGAGATGGATCATAATTTTAACTCTTGCACACAAAATGCGACCCCACGGCCGGATGGCGTAATCCGAACCCTTCCAGCAATAGGAAAAAATATTTCAAGACATGCATCGCCGAAGGACGGTGAAGCAAACAAGTTCGTTCGCGTTGCCTGTGTGGTCCCCGCTGGTACCTTCGAATACGGTGTTAACACTGACGTCCGGAAAAATAGCGAAGAAAAATGCACAACACGCTACGCAAGCAATTGGCGATTCTTCGTCACGACACAAAAGGCATGGCATATTCATACTGCTACGGGAGAGACTCGCACCAGAAAAAAAAGAACTCACCGCATACGGACGCACGTATACTAAATAGAATCACACGGTGCGCCCTAGGGGCAACGGCAGGGTGCCCGCCGCGAGCACACCCGGAGCCCCCGGGGATACCGTAGTTTCTCGCCCAACGAGAGATTGAGCCGCTGTTCGTTGTTTGAGACTCACGTCCCTTTACCCAAAATCCGCAGCACTGCTGTACGTCGTCCAACCCCACGGTAACCGTGCAATGCGAGGACCGCCCTCGTGAGAAATTGAAGTTTATGAGGAAATAGATACATATATATGCAGACCCTATCCCTAACCCTTAACCCGTACCCAACTTCCCCGATTGCATGCTTTATCAAACATGTTTGCTTAATCGAAAACTCCTGCGAAGGGTACTGAATACGAGTGCGGTGACTCCCTTGTCTCACCTCGTTGATGAACTCCAAGCACGTTATGGTGGCCTCTCTAAAGCCGTCGGGTAGCTCCGACACCCCGTCCATCTCCGCGGCCGACCGGCACTTCTCCGGCACCAGCATGTCCTTCACCTCGTCAAACGGTAGACACGCAGGTCTCACGCAGTACCACCTCATCGAGTGCCTGGCACACCGGAGCGAGGACAAAAAATAGGAAAATAATGAGCTAACTCCCACCGATACAGCGGTTGACTTGAGGTAAAAAAACGGCAATCACGCGGAAGGAGGCATTACTCAATCGAGAGGGACGTGGGGAGGCTCGAGAAGGCACGACCAGTGCCCTGGTTGACACACGTCCCCCAAAAGGGGAGAAAGTGGCACATCACCGTAGGTACCAAGAGCACAACTGAGACAAAAATCAGACCAAAGCCATCAGAATAAACCGCGGGCGCTGGAGGGGTGCGCTACAACAAGAACAGCAAACAAACGCGTCGTCAGCCCGCCACGTCCCTGCCCTTGCGAGAAGGCTCCTCGGCTAGGCTTGGCCCTCCACCGCCAGCGCAAACTGGTTGCCCATTGCCCATCATCAGCCACACGCGGCGCCCAAGAAAACGTCACTGTTAACTCTCTCAAGTAGCAGCGCCGCCCGCCCCCCTACGCAGGCGCTTAGCACCCAGAAGCAACGGCCGCACTCACTGCTGACGTCCCGTCGTCCGTTCGCAGACACTTAAGACAGGAACGAAAAAAGAAACAACGTCCAAATAATTCCTACACCAGCACCCGTGAGTACCACAAACATTTTTCGAAAATACGCACACAATCACTGAACGATTTTTCCGTTCGAGAGAACATCCCAATGCTAGGGACGTGTTGAAGCCTTGAGAATGAAAGGGGATAACTTTTACACTCCCAAACATTTTTCTGTTTCCATCCAATTGCGCACAACTTGCGCTGTCGCGAACTACCCCGCACCGTACCCTTTCGCAACAGCTCACATCCCATGGGCGTGGAGCGCCTACACAGCAGCAGCTGGCTAAATAGGGTAGATACAGGGTTGTGTGGATTGTTGAAAACGCCCACCACAACCTGCGGTCGGAAGTTATGGGGACGAACACGAGGTAACTGCTGTAGTTACTGCTGCAGCAACGGTGGTGGCCCCGACACGCCGTACCGCGGTCCCGAGTAGTGCGAACAGTTCCGATACACCGCGGTAAAGATTGCTTGTCACGGGATTTGGCTACTATACTAAAGCTACTTGCATGCTCCCCCACGCTCACTACATCACTACAAAAGCATTGCGGTGTCCTGACATACCGTTGTGATTTTTGCCTGCTGTCATCATGCACTACCGCGGTATATCGGGACCACGACTGTGTACCAGGTGTAGACGGCACCTGGGCCACAGCCTCAAAAGATTCCATTCACACCCGACGGTTTCAGCTATGTAGCCCTGTCATCGCCCGATGGTATGCACTATTGTAGGATCGCTTCAAAAATATAATAGGGCGAGAGATGGCGGCACGAAATAACGAAGCATGTTCTTTCGGTTGTTCGTGCCGCCATCTCTCGCCCTACATATGAGTAAATATTTTTTGTGGTCTATGACCCAACGAATCCATCTCTATCTAAGAAAAGTTGTGGAATGAACCGATCCTATGCATACAATCGCAGATGACGGGGCTAAATATAGCTCGAAACGTCAGCGTGCACGGAATCTTGAGGTTGTGGCCCGCCGTCTAAACTCGGTACCTCTTGCTTACATTAGGAGCACATGCCTACAACAGCTGTACTGCTGAAAGGTTTTTGACGCAGGCCACATACTCTACTCGCTTGCATGGGAAAAGACAAGTCGGACAAGAGCAAAAAAAAATAGCATAGCATCACAGACGGTAGTCCGTCGCCGCAGCGGTCTACATATATATGTAGTTGATGCAAACCCCGCAAATTTCCACTTTTCGGCGGGCGTTCGGATTTTGAAATTCAAATCTAGGCACAGCCACACGAACCGCCGGGCGGGATCTTTCTCACGCGTGGCCCTACAAACCGCCGTGTATCCTGCTGCTTTGAAGCACTCGTTCGTGAGCGTGTACAATAATACAACCTTTGACTTCTCGGTGGACCAGGGAACGGAACGAGGTATTTCGTCTTTCTCGCCATAAAAACCTTGATCCCACGTATACTATTATATGCATACTCTCATTCAATATGAAGACGTGGCCTAAAAAAAGAGGGAACAACAACAAAAAAAACTGCTGTGTGGCCAACAAGCGAAAGACATGCCCCAACGCTAACAAACGTCCAGGTTACATTTATTTAGGGTAGGAGGGTCTTTTGAAGTGTGCGCATATTTGTCGTAGAGGGCGTCCCTAGCACTGCGATCACACGACTCCAAGCCGATGACTATGCATATGAGCTTCTGTGCGCACATATAGACCAACAGCCTGTTATCGAGCGACGATTTCGTACAGCAGCCAGCCGCGAATGAATGAGCCCTCCGCACTCGTCCCATGTCGGTAAATTTACTACTGTAGACTACTCAGTCCACCGCGGCCCTTACATGTAAGTCGATGCCCAACCGCAATCGTTTTCCGGGTCCGGGTTCCGTCCGCTCTCTGTAGAGACAAAGTTCAACTGCTGTTGTGGTAATTTTTATGTACATACAGGCCAAAGCATTGTGTTGTACACACAAGAAAAATGCACACAACGCTGTGTAAGAAGCAATCGCGGCAGCGCACATGTCCGCGGACGCGGCAGGACGGCATATAACGTGAAATCCATGGCACCAAAAAAAAAATATGATGGAGCCACTACGATAATAATATCTCTCGGCGCCCTCGCCATTCTCGCGCATGCTAGCGTCCGAGCAGGGGGCCGGGGGGGGTGTCCCCTGCAACTGCTCTATTTCTTTCTCGACTTGCAGCAGGCGCAAGTTCGGCCGTTGTCGGTGGCGGGTGACGCATTCATTATCTCTGTGATTTCGCGCGGGCGTCGAAAAATTCGGCGTGCGGTGGAATGATATCTTTGCTGCAACCCCAGCAGGCTTCGCATCTAAGGCCGGAAGTTGGATCCCCGGCGTCCCAGCACGCGCGCTGCCCAGCACGCTGGCGCGTGCTAGTCCAGCGGCGGGAGGAGCTGCCGACCCCGGCTGCGACGGTCTGCCTTGAGGGCAGCCGACCGACAGCACATGCGCAGTTGAAGACGAGATAACATGAAAAAATTGAGCAGCCCCACCCCCTCCTGCGTTCAAATAAATACCTCCGCGCCATCATCATCATGTTCGTTTTTGTTGCATGTTTCCCTGAAGCACCTATCTCTACTCCCTACTGTGCCTCTGCATGAGGGGCTAGCCCTGGCCCTTCTCCAGAAAGGCTTGAGGTGGTTTGTTTCGTTCTCACCCTCCTGGTCCCCCAATACCCCAGCGAAGCTTGCCCTGTGGGATACGTCCTTGTCGCTCCTTCGAGTTCTCGCAGGAGGCATTTCGGCACGCGCTCCTGCCCGTCACGGCGAGCTCCGCCCTGCATTTCAGCTCCACCATGGCACTAGGTCGACTTCCCCTCCCTCCCTCCCTTCCCTTCCACTACCACCTCCCCGTACCGCCGTGGGGAGTCAGGTCTGCTGTAGCGAGATCAGCGAGATTTTATCCTGGACATCTATGAACTCAACTCTCAACTTGATGATCCGTCTGGCAGCGCAGTTCATCGTGAATCCACACCCCTCCTCGATGTGCCAGCTGGAGACCCCCCCCCCCCCTCCTCTCCGGTGCAGAAAATCCTAGCCAGCGGCCACCGGCGTCCTCTTGCCGCCGGGCAACAGGCAAAGCAAAGGAGAGGCACTCGCCGCTTGCCGCCTGCGCAAGCGCGAGAGAAAAGGAAGCCCGCACCGACCGGAAGACTGGCAGGTCTACGGGAAAGGGAGAGAGAAAGAGACAGAATTGGCAACATGGAGCACCTTCTCCTGCTGCTGGGCATGATAGGCGTCTTCGGCCTGATCTTCGCTGTTGTAAGTAGTGTGGATGGATGATTGTTTTTGGCCTGCGGCCCTTTTTTTTTTGTGTGGGTGCATTCATGCATGTGTGTCCCTTGGTTGTATGTACTGTACCTAGATAGCCTTGTAGGAGTAATTTTACCCTTGGTGCATGGCCTTTTTGAGATCCTCGGAAGTACCCGGTTACAGAGAGACGGATTTATCGACAAGCACTCGTCTCCAAGCCAAGGGCCCTGTCCACTCTCAACCCCATGGGCATATGAATGTCGCGGATCGGGAGGGCGCTGGTCGGGCATTGCGGCTCTTGCTTCGCGCTCAAAGGCTTTTGTCCTGTGTCTGGATCGATCTCGCAGCGCATGATCATGAGGCAGGCAGGCAAATCATGCCTTCTGATCTCTTGGCCTCTCCGGATGATACTTAATCACGCTGTCATGAGACCTGGCCGTGCCGCTTCTTTCTTCTTCACTTCCTACCGTTGCCCCTCCACCCACACCCCCTCGTTCTCTCTCTTTAGCCTTTTCCCCACACACGCCGATCGCCGTCCCACGAAAAAACTGCTGCCGAATATATTCAACGCCGACTTCTTGTTGCATGAATTTGGCTCTTGCTGTGTTTCGACGCCGTGTTAGTTACTGCTATTTACTTTTGAAGTGCTGCTGTCTGTGTAATGATGATGTCTTTCGTGTGGCGTGTCTGTTAAAGTTCAGCTTACAAGCAGTACCGAGCACACCCGCTGGCTATTAAAATAGGGTGTTGTATTGTAGGCATGAGCGAGAAAGTGATCGTATTAGTCGCGAGCAGCGTCTGGGCTGGGGTCTTGCAGCACAAGTTTTAATGGTTGATCTCGCGAAGGCGGCCCCGGGAGGGGGGGGAGGGCGGGGGCGGGGGAGCAAAGGTGCCCCCCGACATCTTCCTCTAAACATAGACAAACGGTAGTCGTTGTACTCCCAAGATTACTACAGCAGTACACAGATGACAAAGATGGTCACGCAAGTGCTGTCTGTGTTGAGCCTGTTACAATACCCACACACAGGGGAGATGCTGCTGGGGGGATCGAGACACACGAGTCGGTTACCATGCAGCGTTAGTACTCCGGAGTGTCATGAATTGATGGCTCATCTGCGGCAGATGTACTATTGCTGTAGACTTGCTGTCCCGGACTGTTCAGTCCGGGGAAGAGATGAATTCGTCATGTGTTTTCAGGCGAAAGAAAAACTGAAGACAGAACAAGGCCATACAGTTATTAATGCAAGACAAGTTTTGGGAAGGCCCCGCAGCTGTTAGTCGTTCGGCTGCCGTCTGCTTTTGGCACCTAATTTTGCGCATTACTGCTGGTATGCTACATATAAAGCTAGGTAGTGTCCCGAGTGGTCCTTTGAGAAAGTAAGGAGTGCGTACAACATGGTACCTCTTAATTTTTAGTTTTTTGTTTTCCTTAATATGATCCAACGAATCCATCTCTAAGAACGAATCCATCTCTCTAAGAAAAGAGTCTTGAGATAGATCAGCAATTAATTCATAGCGTCAGAGAAAGCTACCTGTATTTCCACGGTTTCCCGAGCAGCACACAGCGATATCCCCCCTGTGGGTAACAGGCGCAACAAGACAGTGTGGTGGCGGATCTTTTCTTCTTTTTCCCTAGGATATCCGTTGAAGTACACTCCCAAGCGGTGAAAACGGGAACAAACTGCTGTCGGGGTGGAAAAGTGAGCCACTTGCTCCCAGCCGAGTAGTTCAAAATTTCGTGTACTTCAATTCAAACATTCAAATACAACAGCAACGGAACGGGTGGTATGCATATGACACAAATACCCGCACCAAACAGGTGGAGTAAGAAGCTATGTAAGGCTGAAGCTACAAAACTTCGACCTGTCGGCGTACGCTATAATAAGCTTAAGTTTTACAATGCCCGATGTGTTCCATGTGTGTGTTCACCCGGACAATACGCGTGAAGGTTGGGTAGATAGCAATTCGCCGGAGAAAATGCCAAAGGATAGATGCATGCCTCTACATGCATACAGCAGTAGGCAGGAAAACATCCTCCAAATGTTTGAAGCGCTGACGGTGACAGAAGGAGCGAGAACCCACACCCATTGTCCAAACATTTCGTTTGTCGGGGTATCACACGGTGGGCGCGCAAGAACGCTTCCGGACAAGGAACGTTATGCAGTGTCCTGTGTCCTACCCGAACAACGACGGTGCCAAATCGAAACACTTCGACACTTGCTCTACGGTGGTTGTGTGCATACAGCGTTACACATTATTCCCTCAAACGAATTATGTATGTGCGATGGTCTTCGGCCGTTGCCAGAAGTCGTGGTGTTTGGACAAACGGACAAGTTGAAGGACACTAGCAAAAGAAAATGGTAGGAATCTACGAGTGAGACACAGAAAAATCCTATTCTGCATATTGTACGGAGAGACTGAAATTGTTTACGTTAGCAAGAATAACTTGACAAAGGCGAGCGTACCGAGGAAAAGTCACCAACACGGGCAAGTTGTCGTCGTTGACGTCACCATCGAAAACGTCGGAGACTTCGCCATGCGAGGCGGACAGTCACCCCTCGACTGCACGGCAATTTCCTCTGTCCTTGACCCTCCTCTGGCTGGCCTCCAGAACGCAAAGGGTGCCTGTCCTCTCTCCATCTGGTTGTTGAAAAGCGGGCACAGGACGGGGGGGGGGGGGGGGTGTACTCATAGTCGTGCATGCCGTAGTCGTTAGACCATTGACCTCGCATCCCTACAAAGCCGGGACGGAGCACGCCGGGTTCTCACCGGACCAGGCTCTCACATCACCAAGCGCGAAGCGCCGTGAGGTATTTGGCGAGTCGCATGAAGGGTGAGCTGCCATCCTGCTAAGGGTGTTCGGCATCTTGTGCTTACTTCCTTGCGTACGGATGACAGCTGCGTATGACTTAATTTATTTTCTGGTGCTTTCACTTCCAGAGACAGCTGTAAGCACTGTGTAACTGCCTCGAGGATGCTTGACCATTTTAACACAACGTGGTGCGATCATCCCCCTTGCGCGGAGTGAGGGTTCTCCACCCCGCACAACATGATCTACTCGACGACCATTATGGTTACCGCCAAAAAAAAAAACAGAGGTAAAAAAAAAACGGTAACCTGGTTGCCGAGATCACGAAGTGAATTGGCTTGCTTTACAACGTCGTTGCCAAGCGACGAAAACCCAATCCCGATGGCAAAACACGAGGGGGGGGCTGGTTTTACAACGTCGTTGCCAAGTGACGAAAACCCAATCCCGATGGCAAACACCGGGGGGGGCGGCTTGTTTTTCAACGTCGTTGCCAAGCGACGAAAACCCAACCCCGATGGCAAACACCGGGGGGGGGCGTACTGAATGTTAATGTTTTGCTGACCTTAGCTGTTGGGCCATTGACCACACGAAGTCGACCACCCGTACTCGAGAAGACGGAACGTTTGGACCGATCACCGATGGCCAATCGTTCCTTCCTACTTTGACAACCGTGTCTCGAAACGTGCAGGGGGGGGGGGTGTTTGCGTTAACATAAAATAAAGACGCCCTACTGCTGTGTGCACCGGCGACGGGACACATCGTCCCTCCCCTGAAGGTTTCGGCAGATGTCTGAGCCCGTTGACTCCGAAAATCCACCGGTCGTCGGATGTCGAAAAGCCGTGTAGACCTCGGAATGCCTTGAAGCGGCCTCCTGTAGACAACCAGTGCGGTGCCCCGATGGCTGCAGCAGCCCGGTTTTTACCACCACCCACACACGCACACCTGGTGGAAGTCTTGCCGGCCGTGCAGCAGGCCCTGGTATAGGCTAAAGGCTTGATTTCATGTTCACGATTGCGTACGATTCGCACGCACTTCTGGATGACGTACACTGCCGTGACAATTGCACGGGCGGCGAGTTTTCTTGGGCACCTTTGCTCGGTTCGTCGAGCGTCTCGTGTCTCACCGCTACACCATTATACCGTAGTACACTGAGTGCTCTTTTTTTTCTCTCTCTCTCCCAACCCGGTGTCGCCGTCGTTGTCGTTGGGGGAAACCACAGACGCGGACCCTCTGCCGAGACCCTGACCTCCTGCAGCCGGAGGGCTACATGGAGAGGCAGCAGGCCCTGGCGGAGGCCGTGGTGAGGCAGATGGACACCCACGAGCTGGTGGCGATCGCGTCGGGGAGGTTCGGGTCCGGGGGAGGCCTGCTGTCGAGAGGAAGAGGCCGGGCGTCGCGCCGCTTCCAGCAGGCGGAGCAAACGGCGGGCGTGAGCCAGGTATTTTTACGGTAGATAAGAACCGCCGCCGCCGCCGCCGCCGCCGCCGCCACTGACTGCTGTGCAGCAGTGCTATGCATGCCATGCCGTCTAGGTGATGCAACATAGCATGCCACACACACACACGCGCACTCTGGGACCGATTTTCCAAGCTCGGCTGCTCCATGACGAGGAGGATGTACACGATAGACCGCCGCCTGTCTTGCACAGCGCTATGCTTATATGTATGCGTGGGTACCGTGGGTGACACAAGATACCACGCCGCCTGGACCGATTTTCCACGGCTCGATTTTCTCTACAGCAGAGAGAGTGGCAGCGCAGAAAACGGCGGCGTCGAGTGACACAAGATACAGTCGCACCACACACACACCACGGACGGATTTTCATTCGAACTCGATTACTCCGCGATGAACAGGAGGCATACAAAAGAGCGATGAGTTTTCGTAAAGCTCTCGACGAGATGGCTTCAACTCCGCCGTTTTTCGACGCTGTTGCTGTAGAGAAAACGAGCTTTGAAAATCGGTACAGGGGGTGTGATATCTTACGTCATGTTCCCTACTGGTACACACCCGCGGGTGTCAAGTCAGATGGGCGGTGTGCCAGGGGGGAGCTTCCGCAGAAACCCCCCGTTTACCAGGGCTACAGCACGCAGCCCTCTTTGGTGTCGTATTATCGCGGCCATTGTGGTGTATCGGTGCTGGGGAAACGGTGGAAGAGCAAGAAAAGGTGCTGTATTTTTGCCTTCATCCTGTGTGACCCTGTATTCAAGTAGGTGTATACTGGTGCCCAGAATAAATTGGACATCAACGATACCTGTACGTAACAACGAGATCATCAAACGAGCAATGACGATGCCGAATCTAAGCAGAAAGCAGCTAGTCGGAAACCTCGACATCTGTGTCCAACGCCAGGATAAAAGAGGTCGTAACCTCCCTCAGTGGGAAGGGCCCGGGCGAACGAATCGTGACGGGGGAAGGTGGGGGGGGGTCACTCAGTCGAGCAATCTGCGGCATCCCTTTCACGATACACAGAGCGAATGCGCTGCGAGGCCTCTCGGTCGCGTGTTGGACAGAGCTTTCCATAAATCCCGATCACAACCGACACGGCTGGGAGATTTCCAACGGCTGGTGTTCGAGCTGCCGTGCTGTTCTCTTCCTTTCTTTTGGCCGGTCAGACCGATCCCCAAATCGCAACCGTATGGTACGAGGCACCACGTGGGTTCACGACGTTGCGAAGACCTATCTTGGCTGTTCTAGTGCTTTACTACTTGTACTGCTGTGGGGAATGTTTGTTTAGTGCGTGCAAACGCGGTTTATTTTTGCGGTTGGTGCGGTATGTATTCCCCCCGCGTCTTTCGGAGGAAGGGCTTTCGTGCCACTCGCGGCGGAGTACCGTAGGTGACATGACATGACGCAAGATACCACACCCCCTGGACCGATTTTCAAAGCTCGATTCCGCCACGACGAAGAGGATGCACAAAATCGTGTGACGCGTTTTCGGAAAAGTCTTGGTGAGATGGTTCCAACGCCTCCCGCCATTTTCGGGACGGGCGCTATTTCAGCTTTGGAGTAATCGAGGTTTGAAAATCGGCCCAGGCGGTGTGATATGTTACGCCAACACCTAAGGCAAGACAAGCGAGGAGAAGGAAGGGCGCAGGATGTCGGGGGTCCTGCGCGCGACCGTGAATGGCATAAGGCTTGACAAGCGTCCTTAGGGGTATTTTTCGACTGTACGCGCTACCGAGCCTTGGCACGCGTGCGTGCGCATGCATCCTAACTCGTATGCATAGTACCCTCTTACCCTTAGCCTGTGGTAGGTGCTGTCGTTTTTCTTGCCGCTGATGCTCCCGGTGTTTGATATTTGTTGCCTTTGTCGCTCCTGCCCTAAGCTGGTATTGTGTCGCGATTAACCACCCACAGGAGGATATATATCTCAATGTCCACACGGTAGATTTATCTTGTTCTCTGCCGTGGGTTGCACAGTATGCCCCACTCCGGGGACCGATTTTGTCCGTCTCGATTTCTCCACGACGAAGAGAGTGCCATACAGCAGTCAATGATGCATCTTCGGGACGTTCTTGGCGAGACAGCCCCCAACACCGGCCGACATTCCGGGCAGCACCGTCACCGAGCTTTTGTCAATGGGTGTGTGGTAGCTTGCGCGGCCTGCGGCGTTTTCAACTGCAAGAAGGGGACGTGTACAGCACACCACCCTCCCGTGTTTGGCGCGATTGGCGTGCTTCAGTACATAAACACACCCGCGGGTGTTAACCGTCGAAATTGGTACCATGAGACAGCAGTGGTGTGTGTCACGTTCTAACGTTCATGCCTGCCTCGTGCTCTCTCATCTGTTTCGTCGTCCCCTCTACCCTCTACCCTTCTTCCCCCAATCGTGTCCGCCGCAGGAGACTCGGATGTCGTTCGTGAAGCTGTCGGCGGGGAAACGGGGCCTCGCCCCGGCTCACGACGTGACCGCTCCGCCGCCGCCATCGTCGGCAGTCGCCCGTTTGGCACCGTCGTCTTCGTCGCCGGACGACGAGCGCAAGAGCCAGCAAGCCGCGGACTGCAGCGGCTGCGCGTGGGCGGGTGGGGGGAGCAAGTCGCCGACCTTGTACTACGAGCGCTCCAATCCCTTGTGTCGCAAGCCCTGTGTCGGGGTTGGCAGTAGTAGTCCAAGCTTGTCCTCTGCTAGGCCAAGGAGTTCCAAGCGATTTTTTATTGACGGGGGGGGCGGGGGGGGGGACGGCGGAGCGGCGGCAGCGGTGGCGGCGGCGGCGGCGGCAACGAGGGGGGTGTACTCGGATAACTCGTGCTCGGTGTGTCTGGACGATTACGAGGAGGGCGACGAGCTGCTGCAGGTGACGTGCGGACACGTGTTCCACCGGGCCTGCATCGACCACTGGCTCAAGGCGCACCGCGTTTGTCCGTGCTGCAGGTGGGGTACTCTTGCATTGTACCCTTCCGAGAGATTCTGGTGTGGAACATATATGCATACCACTGGGATGTGGAAGTATGTATTCACGTTTGTACCCGAAATGATCCCATGTACATTTTCGAACAGGTGGTGTCTGAACATGTGCCACTTCGGTAGTGGAGAAACGTGCTCTTTCTTTCTGGTCGTTGTCGCTTGCCGGATTTCAGATGTTGAATCATTTTGTGAAAACGGCAGCAATGCCGCCATTCGTTCATTTTTTCATCTCGTCGAACGAACAACCCAAACAAAAAATGGGCGCCTCAAGTGCACCCCAGCCATCAGACACGAGACCAGTTGGGAAGAACTTTTGCGATAAAGGGCATAAAGGAAAATGTGCCGCACGTGCGCACCCAATTCTTTCACCCTGTCGCGTTGCCTGCCGTGGGGTGGCCATGACGTAAGATATCACACCCCGCGAACCACCGATGTTCAAACCTCGATTACTCCACACAATGAAGAGGATGCACAAATCGTATGACATGTTTCCGGCAAAAATCTCTCGACGAGATGGTGCCAACGCCACCACCGCTGTCGGCACCGCGCGCTGTTTGTTGCTTTGGAGTAGTCAAAGCTTTGAAAATCGATCCGCACGGTGTGGTATGTTTGTGTCACCTGCGGAATATACCACGCGCGGCGCATCCTCCGCCCGGGGGGCAGGCCGCCTTCGTCATAGACCCCACTCGCCACCGTGGGAAAGCGCAAGGGTTAAGGGTTGCCGTTCCGTTCCCTCGTTACGGGAGGGAGAGTCCAGGTGGCACCACCAAATCGAGTAGTGCGTCGACCGCGTTGCCTGCAGCCCCGGGGCTGGCTGCTGAACGGGGAGGGCTGTGTTTTCATTCTTCCTGTGATGAGGGAGATCGAGCGCAAGCGTGGGTCTGGGGGGGGGAGGCAGCGCGGGGTAGGAACCGGCGCGGGCGTCCAGAGGAGGGGGAGGAGCGGCAGAGGGTGTTTTCTATGGACTGGGCGTCGATATGCCATATGATCTGTATCACGAGAGTGGCATCGAATCGAAGCCCAGTTCATGAAAATCTGCTTTTATCTGTGGGCATCGAAGCTCAGACCATGAATAGGGCACCTTCTCTGCCTCGGCGCCTGCGCCGGTGACCTCTCCCGCGCTGGTTTCCCCGAACCACGCTCGCTCGCCGCCTCTATCTCCTCTACAGCAGTCTTTGACTGACGGTTGTTCTTCATTCATGAAACCTCGCTGCGGTGCTTAAGACATGTTTCGTGGTTACGCCGTGATACTGGTGAGGTCCACAATCAACAAAGGTATCCAGGCCTCTCACGGTATGGCCTACCTACCGAGCGGCCTAAATACCTTTGTCGAGGGATGTTTTCGCGAGCCACGGCGTACCGCTCAACATGTAATGTGTAGGCAGCGTGTTGCGGGGGAGTGCTCCCAAGAGTGAAGAGCTGCCGTTCAGTCATCGGGAGTAGGGAGAGATGACGCAGCGATCCCGCTCCTCCCAATGTCCGCGCGCTGCGAGTAAGGCGAGACGACGCAAACCTCTGCGGCGACCGACCCTCTTCTTGCCGAGGGTGCTCCACGGAGCTGTCTTTTTCTCGCGGAAGTCGTCCATCCATCCCTCCCTGTGCCATGTTTGATGGCGCCTCGGTGCGGGGCCAGAGCCGCGTAGAAGTTCCGGAACGGGGCGGGACTACAATATAATGCTGCTGTCGTTGTCTCAGGGAACGGCGCGCTATTTAAGTAATTGATGCGACATGATACCCGCTTTGTGTTACCGGTTTTTTTTTTTTTGCCTCTCCGCTGCTGTGGCCAACCCGGTCGTACCCCCCCCCCCTCCCCCCTCGCCCCATTTAAAGGTTTCCCCCCCCCCCCGGGGGGCCCCGCGAAAACCAACCGGGAAAAAAAACCCCGGGGGGTTAGGCCTTTCCCCCAAAAAAAAAAGGAATCCCGGGAAAAGCCCCCCCCCGGGGCGGGGGAAAAAACGGGGTTGGGGGGGAGGTCCCCCCGGAGGGGGCCGGGGGGGAAGGGAGCACCCCCCAAGGGGGAAAGGGGGGGGGGGAACCCAAAGGGGGAGGGGGGGCAAAAAACGGG